AGGGGGAGAATGAGGGAGAGGACTGTGGGCTCCTTGGTGCCCTCTGAGCTTTGTTGTCTTTTTGCAGATGTTGTATTACCCAACTAGGTAACATCAGCAGGGCATAACGGAGGAGGAGGAGAACTGTGGGGTCCTTGGTGCTCTCTGAGCTTGGTGGTTTTCTTGCAGGCGTTTCACGACCCAACTAGGGAACATCATCAGAGCTAGAAGGGAGTGGGGTTTGGGAGGAGGAGGAAGAGGAGGAGGAGGAGGAGGAGGAGGAGAAGAAGAACTGTGGGCTCTTTAGTACTCTGAGCTTGGTGGTTTTCTTGCAGGCGTTTCACGACCCAACTAGGGAACATCATCAGAGCTAGAAGGGAGTGGGGTTTGGGAGGAGGATTGGAGGAGGAGGAGGAGGAGGAGGAGGAGGAGAAGAACTGTGGGCTCTTTAGTGCTCTGAGCTTGGTGGTTTTCTTGCAAATGTTTCATCACCCAACTAGGGAACATCATCAGTGCTAGAAGGGAGTGAGGTTTGGGAGGAGGAGGAGGAGGAGAACAACTGTGGGCTCCTTAGTGCTCTGAGCTTGGTGGTTTTGTTGCAGGCATTTCATCACCCAACTAGGGAACATCATCAGTGCTAGAAGGGAGTGAGGTTTGTGGAGAGGAGGAGGAGAACTGTGGAGTCCTTGGTACTCTCTCTGCTTGGTTATCTTCTTGCAGCCGTTTTATTACCCAACTAGACAACACCATCCGCGCCAGTGAGTGTGACTCACTCCCTGTTTATATACTGTAGCTCTGAGCTTGGTTGTTTTCTTAGAGATGTTTCCTCACCCAACTAGGCAACATCATCAATGCTTTGGGAAGTTTTGCTTCAAGGAACCAACTGGAGTTTTAAATATTTCATTTGGGGGGCAATCCCTTCCTCCAAAAAAGAGCCGGGGAGATGTAACCGCTAGCTTCTTTTCAGCCAATTCGGTTATCAGTCAGAGGCTGGTGAAAAAACAACAACTTCTAGACATGACCAACTTTTTGGATCCAAAGGAATTGAGAGGATATTAGGAAAAGTTGATTAATATTCGGGAGGAGGAGTCCCGTTTTGGATTTCTGCTGAAACTTATGGGAAGGTCGTAGCTCGGTTTCCATTTCACTTTCTGGAGACAACGGAAGGAAGCTTGGGAGGAGAGGGGCGCAATTTCGGGAGTGTGTATCCGCCAGTCCTCTTTGGAGGAAGTGAAGTGGCTGTGAAGCAGAATTGTCCCGTTTCCTGCCCCAAATTAAACTTAAAAAATAAAAAAGAGGGAGAGGCTCGTGACCTTTGGATCTTCCGGCGGGAAACCCCAGAGTTCTTTCAAGGAAAGCCACAGAGAACACCGGATGTGCTTCTCCCAATGATCTCAAGAGCTTCTGCTCCTGCTCCCTTTTTAATGGCGGCCAAAGTCACTGACTAAAACTTTGGGGTCTTTGTTGCTCGCCGTGCTTGGTGGTTTCCTGGAGGACGTTTCGTGAGCCAGTTAAGGATCAGTGGTAATCAGGAGGGGGGGGGGCAGCAGCACTGATGATGTTGCTTAGTTGGGTCGCGAAACGTCTGCAAGGAAACCACCAAGCACCGGGAACACCAAGGACCCCACAGTCGTCGTCTTCCTCCTCCTCCTCCTCCTCCTCTAATTCTAATTCTTCATCTCCTCCTCCTCCTCCGTCTTCTAGCACTGATGATGTTACCTAGTTTGGGTAATGAAACATCTGCAAGAAAACCACCAAGACCATCAAGGATCCCACAGTCCACCCCCTCCTCCTTTTCCTCCTCCTCTTCTTCCTCCTTCTCTTCTTCTTCCTCCT